TTTGTTGCGACTCTCAAGCCAGGTGAGATATCGTCTATATTGACTGACATCATTATTGTACTTGTGTGTCGGAAGTGAGTATATTCTAGCAAACTCATTAACAAGTGTTGGTGTGCATATCTCATCACTTCCAAGGAATACCAGCATTATATTGTTACGGCCATAGCGAATAGCGTAGTAAACGTTGTCAATTTGAGTTGGCTCTATGTTGCTAATTTGCGAGCAAGGAATCCATTCAAGTCTTAAGGATTTATTTTCACTTTCCAAGGAGGATTGAACCAAGTTGTCAATTGCTGGATTAACAACCCCTGGCGTTAACGACATAGTTTGAATTAAAAAATTTCAAGTGCCGAATTAGTAAAAATTTTTGATTCTCAAAATGTCTCTTCCATTTGTCCGACACCTTCGAGGAAAACGTGTTGTACTTGCTTCAGGAAGCCCACGCCGAAAAGAGATACTATCATCTGTATTGGTGAATGTCAAGAATATTGTTTTTGTTACTCACACTCAGTATCAGTCAGCGATCTATTAATATTACGTTTTGTATTAGGGATTGAAGTATGATGTAGTACCAAGTACTTTCCCTGAGACTCTAGATAGATCAAAGTATTCCCCGAAAGACTACGTTCTCGCAAATGCGAGGGAAAAAGGAATGGAAGTCTACACTCGCTTAAACTCCAATGCCGATCTTATCATATCAGCCGATACTGTCGTCTGTTTAGATGGAGAGATATTGGAGAAACCAAGAGATCCTGATCATGCATTCGATATGCTGTCCAAGTTAAACGGGAACAAACATTACGTTTATACTGGGGTAACTCTGATTTATAAAAAAGATAACTCATCAGATCCAATAACTTATTCATTTGTGGAAGAGACAGAAGTCATATTTCGGAAGAACAGCGAGGATATGATCAGAGCTTACGTTGGCACTGGAGACCCATTTGACAAGGCTGGAGGATATGGATACCAAGGGATAGCTTCGGTATTTGTTGAAAAGATTAATGGTTGCTACTACAATGTTGTTGGGCTTCCCTCTTCACTATTTGTTAAACTCGAGGAGTTGGTTAGAACTAAGGAAATATAATATTAATATTACATTAGCCATACCTATTGATACGCACGTAATGTATTGTGGATTATCGTTATTTTATATGCTAAGCTATTGGCTATATTGGCTATTGATGCCCTAATGTTATTTGCATGGTATCTCAACAATATTATGTGCATGTATGATTTTAGTTTTTCTTTAGCAGCATACTATGTTCGTTCTCTCAGCCATGTAATATTAATATTAGTAATCTGAAATTTGACTATGACCATGGCAATTCAGCCGACTCATAAACTCACTATTAATAATTTGGAGTATGGCAAGTGAACATTATATTACAATATTAAGCTCAGAACATGACTACACAAAAATATTTACACAACAATCACGTATAACGAATAGAGAGGTCTGAGTCTGTGCTGAGTGATTATGGATACGAACCTAATACTAAAAGAATTATTTTTATGGTGGTTAATTTATAGATTATATATTTAATATACCTTAGATTATATTTTATGTTATATTAATCATAGGTTAGCAACTCAGAGTGGTGTCATGCTAGCGTATTGTATTTATTGACCTACTTATCATCCTGATCATGCAGAGCAGTTACTATAAGCATATTAGATTTAGTTATATTTATGCATCAATCTCATAGCGAAGATTAGCAAACCTGAATCAAGGTTTTTTATAAACATTCGTTGCTGCAAACTGCCAGTACAGTGTGTCACCAAAAACTATGCTACAACAGCTAGAGTAACGACTGGACTTCACTTTATTTAAGAGCAGAGGTTTTATTTAATAGAGTGGTTTCCTTCACATAATTAGCTCCCGTTTTTATTTACCGTTCCCACTAAACTGACTGACATTCTATCAGGAATTGAATTTCATTCCATAAACCACGCTAATCTTTGGGCATACTTTTCTACATTGTTTTAGCTAGATTAAGATGTCATAAATTTTCTATGGAATTTAAGACTGGACTATTGGCAGGCTCTAATAGCCTTGCACTGTGTATTTAAACTTGGTCGGGTTGAGCAAAAAAAGGTGAATGTTTAATAGCAACCATGTTGACGTCAAAAAATATACACGTTTAAAAAACTTCTCTTAGTGCGAACCATTCTCATAAGGCGACTAAAAGCTGAGTGTAGTACTTGCCCAACAGTCTGATCTGCGCGTGAGTCTATAGTCACAACATCACTGATAAGTTAATACATGCACTTCGTAAACATGTAAAATAAGAAACAGTCAACATTAACTGAGGTAATTACTAAAGTATAAAGAACTTATTCAATTGAAATTATATTGCATGTCATTGATATTATCGCTATCACAGAGATCAAATTGTTCGCGTGGCTTATCGGACTTGTTAACCAGTAAAAAATATTTTACTGCGTGTACTCCGAAATGTTACACTGATACTATTGTCCTTATTTACGGAAACAATTATGACAGTCGCAATATGATGCAATGATGTGTTACACTAGGCAATATTAATATATCGATACCCGTTTATGCTTTAATGTGTCATCTTCCGTCATATAACACGCGAACACGCGTCTACTCATATATATACCCAGACGCTACTTTCCATTGCATACGTATCGCTTCAAAACAACTTCTTCTTCTTCTTCTCCAAAGAGTAACAAATCTTTGCCACTCTAATTACGCACATAGACAGTTTGCTACAACGATCGAACAAATCTTTAAAACAACGGCATGATTCATCGACCACATGCTGATGAAAGAGTTTGCACAAGAGTGAGCGTTTTACTCCTCCACACTAACGTACACACATAAACCTGCTTCTCCATTATTAACGTGTATCGCACCGAGTAGAGTAATGATGCGATAAAGAAGTTGTATTTACACGTTTATTATTAACTTATTCTGATATTCGACGTCTTTTCAGCAAACAGGTATCTTCTTGTCTTCAGTGAAATAAATAATTGCGTCACAAAATAACCCAACTAATTGTTATAATCTTTATTATACTACTTAGAAGTTACATACGAGTCACTTCCTCGATTTCAAAAAGTTTCCCGACACGTAATCTCGCTCTTTGACAACTCTATATCGCTTCGTTATTATTATCATCAGCGCGCGCTAAGTCATTCGGCGTATTGCCAACGCTAATCCTATTACCGAAGAACTGAAAAACAAATTCTCCTTTGACCTAATATGTATGCTCCCCAACTACCGACAAAGCGGTTTGAATCTTTCTTGCTAAAAGACGCGGCGACAGCCTGGACTCAACCTCACTAACACCAGTAGCCCTGACTAATATGAGGGTAAGTATAATGAAAGAACCTTTAGCTCATTATTGAGAATGAAGTTACAGGAAAAAGATAACCAAGAAAGAGTGAAGTGTGTAATAGTAAGAGTCGGGTGTGAGAAATTACTACAAGAATTACGAAGAATGGCAAATAGAGCTTTATTTGAACGGAAAATAGATTATTTACTTATCCACAACAACATTTTTTTTATCATAGATAACAACATCTTAATCAAGAAGAAATTGCCATCCATTGTGTGATAGTAATTCTCAGTTCTTGCATTTCCTTATTCATTGTTGCAATTAATTGGGTGCCTATATTGATATTGGAAGTCAGATGACAGAAAAAAGTAATGGAGGAGTTGGCTTTAAAAGTCGATTGGAGGTAGGCAGGATAAATAGGTAAATAGAAAAATGGTGGGTAAATAATCATTAACTAAAATACTATTGCTCTTTCATCGGTTTACTAGGTGGCTGCTCTCTTTCGTCTCTGCTGGTGGACGGTGCAGATTTGGATCGGTGGAGGGTAGTTACCAATGACGCCCCCTACTCTCTATTGTTCCCAGTGCTCGCCTGCGGTGTAGAGATCCTGGTACGGGTCTGGTGAGTGGGTCACGGGGGATGCCCGGAAACTCTCAGATATCTCCTTTCTTCTTTTTTTTATGACACAGCATTAGGTTACGGTAAGAAGGTTTGGTAAGTATGAGGTAAGTATCGCATTGCTTCACGATATACACTAACTCTATTTTCTTTTCTTCCTTTCTTTCCTCCTTTTTTCTTTACTTGTCGGTTTGTGGGTGATCGGATCTAATGGACGTGGAAGAGTTTGAGGGATTGATTTGGTAATTATTTAGTCATTCTTGAAGGATATGTCCCTAAAGCTGGTTAGAGATAAAAAGTGGGGTTTGCTGCCGGCAATAGTTGTTAGATTATTTACCTACCCATTGATGGCATGTATTTATTAATTAATAATATTGTTATTAGTAGTAATTATAATTTAATAATTTAATCATAACGATAATGACAATGATAATAACAATAAATTAAATAAACGAAAGAAGAAAAAAAGAGAACATAAGAAAGTAAGCGTAGAAAGGGAAAAAACATTTTATAATTCTTAATGGGTACTTTTAGACATAATGGTTTAAAAACAGGCCGCAACAGATACGGGCGTGTTGACCCAGTCAAGAAACAAACACGACTTTAGGCATCAACTGATTACTTAACGAGTTTATGGATATTTGTAAAGATAATAAAAGTTATTACAAAAGTGGTCAAAAGCAATTTAATCATTTTCAAATATTATTCGAAAAGTAAAGCAATAATTTTACGTGTATGTTGAGTTTGAAAACATGCGTATTGCAACATTTGGTCGGGCATGTCGATGCTCCTTATTGATAATTGAACAGTTTGGTAATTTGTATAGAATCACATGGCAGGAATGGGGTTATTGTCGGTGATACTGCAAGATGGAATTTTAGAATTGAAGGTAATAGTAAGAACCGAGCCTTAAAAATCAAGTGACTGTGACTATCATATGATTGTGGAATGTGCATTTTTAACCATAAAAATTTGTGTGTTTGGGCAATTTCTATTTGCTAGCCGCATTTAGAACGATTAACAAGAGTTTCCAGACTTCCTCTTTCAATAAAAAAATAAAATAAATGCCTAGCGATGACTATGAGAACAAGACTTTTACGGCGTAGGAATATAATTCGCACTTTAAAAAAGTGGATCCCCAAGCTTCGGTATGATGTTTTCAACTCTTGTTCTTTTGAACATTTGAGCCCCGTTTGGAACGTGTCTTGCAAGTCTGAAATAGGTTTATTTTATTTGCTGTTGGAGTCACTTGGTTGTTCGTTTTACCTTCAAAGCAGTATAGCAAGCGTACCTATATCTCGGAAAATGCTTTGCTACCGGGACAGGTGAGTTGCTTGATCGCCGCAAAGATTAGTTACTGGCATTTCGCATTAATCTCGAGAACGCGCTTGCTTTTTTTAGGTAAAGACGTATTATAGCTGGTCAGAGGTCAATGAAGCTAGTGTGTATGCCGAGTCGATAGAGTCGCTGGTGAATGCTAGTAGCCTGGAGTAAGTTCTCGTTTGAGAGCGTATTTGTTTTCTGGATAGACTGTCGTCAATCTGTACACGTGGATCTGATCAAGCAATCTTTTCTCACAAGCATAGAAAGGCAGCAGCTATCGAAAGAGAATTGAGAAAATCGGGGTTCAAAACTGCAACACAGAATTTCACTGTGAATATTCTTGGAAAGGTAGGCAATGTTTTTTCTGGTGATGGTTAATCGACGACGCTTCCTAACACGTGTTTGTATGTCTTGGTCATGCATAGCCGATAACCGGTGTGAATGTTTTCGCTATTCTTAACGCTCCAAGGGGAGATGGTACTGAAGCACTGGTGTTGAGTGCGCCTTGGAAATCAAAAGATGGGATCACGGATAATATAAATGGAGTTGCGGCCGCACTTTCGATAGGGAATTCCCTGAAAAGTATGTATTGGTTGGAATAGAACGCATGCTATACAATTGTGGATATAAAATATGGACCATCTATTGACTTTTTATCTATTATACGTTCGAAATTGAGAGTATACATATTGGTCAAAGGATATCATTCTTTTAATATCTGATGGAGCCGAAATCGGAGTCCAAGCGTGGTTGGAGGCTTATCACGATTATCAGAGATCAGGTAAATTTGAATACGAAGACCTGTATGCAACGTTCGTTTTGTGCGAACAAAATCTAATTTATGTTTTTTTTCAGACATGATAGGTTCTCCTTTACTCTTGCGCTCGGGCGCAATTCAAGCAGCTGTGAATTTGGATTTTCCTGGTACCCATTCGTATCGTGCGCTGGGCTTGTTCTTTGGTAATATGCGTCATAAAACTAATATTGAATTTACTACCAGTTAAGTTACTCTTGCTCACTGACAAAGTTACATTTATTCGATAGAGGGGTTGAATGGCCAATTGCCTAATCTCGATCTGTTAAATATCGTCGTGCGCATCTGTCGCGTCTCTGCTTATATTCCTGTCATGCTTCATGAGACTGGGCATATTTACCAGTATAATGATGATTATGGAGATTACAAGTCATCGCTCCATAATTTAATAACAACAATGAAATTCCAGGCATTAGGACATCCAACCGGGAATCATGGTTTATTTCTAAGGTTGGTCTCTCATTCTGTAGCAAAGGAGACAAGTCTTTCGTTAGATGGAAGAAGAATCGACTAACACATATATTATACTGGGTAGATACAAAATCGACGCGATTACGTTGTACGGGAAAGTGGATGAGGAAGTTAATCAGCAGAAATTTCGATTCTATGAAATTGGATCGTAAGCAGTTGTCTTTTGTATATTATGAATACGTGCTGTGACGTAATATCCCTGTTGATTCTGATTTCATTCTTCAGTGTAGTCGAATCCACGTTTCGAAGTTTGAATAATCTACTCGAACATTTCCACCAATCTTTCTTCTTCTATTTGCTACCGAGTCCCGAACGATACATATCTATAGGTTCTTATCTACCACCTGCCCTATTACTTGCAGTTGGGTTAACGCTACATATATCCTTTGTTTCATATTCACCTACAACTATTGTTTTTATTTGTTGTCGAGTGATGGAAAATATCTTTAACCAGATCACGCTTTAGCATTATGGGCTTCTACCGGAGATGACCCTAACATCCAATCAGCACCATCTTCATCCGTTACTGTGACCGCTACCCCTGGTTCGTCCAAAGATGCCAAACATACGGTCGATGACTTGGCTGTAGCATTGCCCTACAACAGGCGACCACGCAGAATCGCATTCCCCTTGGCAGTATTAATTGGGACACATGCGGCTGGATTGGTTATTCTATTCGTTGTCAAAAATCACTTTGACATAAGTCGTCTCGCAGAATTGTTCGGGATTCCGGTAAGTGTCGGTTATAACACTTTAATATTCGTTATACAAGCCCATGCAGTGTGTGCATGCATGAATATATTAACTACATTCACAAACTCTAGGGATATTTATCTACACTCAGCCTTACTTCATCGATCTCAATAGTGACGACTTCAGTATTAGTGACGACGCTCGAATCGCGCTCGCTTGCCAATTCTCGCTCTCAACCTTTGCGCCCTGCTAACCTCACTCCATCGCCCGATTGGGCTGTATTAAAATGCTTTAGTCTTGCATATACGGGAATGATAATCTCGTGTCTGTCGGTTCTCAATTATAGCCTGGCAGTATTTGTCGCCTTGGCAGTTGTGATTCCATTCTCATTGTTCCGACCAACCGAGCAACAGTTACTGAGAGCATTACAACTATTTGTGCTTTTGGTAATATCTCCACCCGGATTATTATTACTATCAGGTGTCGACATAAGGGCGTTCTTGGAATGGCAGTTATCGGAATATTTGGTACTTGGAAATTACTTACTGCCTTTTGTGTGTTGTACGTACTGGCCGACTATACTGGCATATGGAATTATTGTGTTTGCACCCGTTAGGTAAATTGAGTAGAGTGGAATACGAATGGTGATATGAGCGAAGGAGCGAATAGGCAGGGGGGGGGGTTGTGATAAAACTGCGAATAAACACATACAATTAAAAAATGGCAATGATGTAGATGAAATTACAAGCTATTAATTAGATCTTACAACAATTTATTATCGTCATATAGAATAAAGTGTATAAATTATATCACGTGTATTTGTCTATATATAATCTATTCGCCTAGTGTCTCAGCTAACCATCGTTCACAATCAAGTGCAGCCATGCATCCAGACCCTGCGCTAGTGATCGCCTGGCGATACTTTTTATCCTTAACATCACCTGCGGCAAAGACACCTTCAACACTGGTATAGGTGGTATCAGGTTTGGTAATAATATAACCATCTTGATCTAATAGTAACTGTCCCTTTACAAGTTTAGTAGCAGGCTCGTGTCCAATGGCATAGAATAGGCCATTGGCCTCGAGATCTCTCACTTCTCCAGTTTTTGTATGTTTGATACGAACACAGTTCAACAGACTGCCATCGCCTTTAGCTTCGATTGGCACATGGTTCCATATAACTGTTACCTTTTCGTGAGAGAGAAGACGATTTGCCATGACCTTGGATGCTCGAAGCACGTCGCGACGTACGACCACATATACGTGAGAAGCGTATCGAGAAAGAAATAATGCCTCTTCAGCTGCAGAATCACCGCCTCCAATCACTACAAGCGGCTTTTGACGGAATATGGGTGCAGCACCTTTTGCAAATAGATTAACGGTTAGAGATTGTGTTAAAAATCATCGAATTATCAAGATCGCGCAAGTAGCTTGATGCGATTATTTACCATCACACACGGCACAGGCAGAAATACCCTTTTGCCAATAAATGTCTTCACCAAGCAAGTGCAGTCGTTTGGCAGCAGCCCCAGTTGCAATAATAATTGAATCGGCAGTGTCGGGCTCTTGATTTTCCTTATACTCGCACCAGTATTTAAATGGACGCGACGAGAAATCGACCTTTGCGACTGTTTCTGTTATGATATTGGTACCAAACCTGGCACTCTGTTGGCGGAATAGATCCATCATTTGTGTGCCTTCGATACCATTGGGGAAGCCGGGGTAGTTCTCGACGTCTGTTGTTGTGGTGAGCTAATAATACAAATTGCGCGAGTGAGCTTATATATTGATAATCACCTATGAGAAATGAAACTGAAAAATCACCTGTCCACCAGCGGCAATTCCATTAGCCAAAAAACCCTCATACATAACAGGTTCCAGGGTTGCTCTAGACAAGTACAAGGCTGCTGTATGGCCAGCTGGGCCAGATCCGATAATCACAACTTTAGAATGCATCTTTCTTATTGATTTATTGATTGATGGAGATGTAAGATTATTTGTTTTCGTTCTAATAAATACTCTTTCTATCAAGTTTTTTGCGAGTGTTTTAGAGAGCAATGGCATAAGTAGTAAAAAATACGTCAAAAATGTAATGCGATTTATAATAATTTGAAGGTGTGACAAGGTGAAAGATTTGTCATCAACCAAATAATCCCCGTCGGGAGCTCCCACTCATAAATAACAATTCGGGACAGTCAACTCTTTATTTAGAAAAGTCCTCGGAGGTAAGAAAAGCTTAGAAAGGTTTTCTATAATGAATAAACGGTTCGCGACCTAACCATAACAAGAGAAGCTGTATCGTGATGCTCAAACAGCCCATTATAAAAAACGGAATCTACTTTTGCTGATAATTGACATACCAAGAATATAGCTACTCGTTTGCAGACTTGAATGCCAGAGTAATGGGAGGGTTGTGAACAAGGCTGCCTAGCAAACGGTCAGAAAATTCTAGAGCGTGAAAATATCTTGTTTTAGAACCGACATGTTAATGTGTCCAGCAAAAAGTTCGCGATTGAACACTAGAGTTACTAATACCAAATATATGATTAGCGCAATGCCTTTATCCTTAAATTACGTTTGGAATAAAAATTCCCCCATACATTTTGTACATCAAACATTATTAAGCAGGATACACATTATTCGGGCAATTATCAGGTGATTTCAGATTAGGCAAGTCTTCCCGTTCTATTCTCCAGTAAAATGTTCTAGAAATAGCGATCGGTATGAAAACGGAGCAGAAACAAACAATTAGGTAATTAATAAAGGAGAAGACGCCATCGAAGTATTAGACTTGTAAAAAGTCTAATTATCTTTCGCCATTGTCCGTATGTAATAGCACCTTATGATATCATAATCAACATTCGAATATGGTTAGCGCATCTTCCATAGGAAGTATTGCTTTTATAAAGTTGCTGTTTAACATACGAGAACCTTCCATAATACAAACTTGTGAACAGAAGAGAGATTTACATCAAACGAGAGCTGTTTACTATTACAGTAACACTAATACGCATATCAACACATGTGCACGTACGGCGTTCTATTAAATTAATCAGCATGTTCTTGCATTTTAGCGCTAACTAAAATTGTGTGGGTGACAAGATTTATGTATCTTTCTTGCTAAAGTTAAAGACTTTAATGGATGCTTTACTATAGACTTCTCGTCGTTTTCTACAAAGATTGTGATGTCTTCAAACACAGACAATAATATCTCCTGGTAGAAAAAAAAATCATAAATTAAACCGTTACTATTCCATAGATGATTTGTCATTTACTGTTACGTCACTATAATTGTCGTCATGAAAATATATAAGCAGGAAATATGCCTATCACAGAAATTAAGGTTAATTATCACATTATTCAACATTCGCCATGCGTTCAACATATGAGATTAAGGTTACATATTAATATGGCATTACCAAAACAAGATCTTAATGATCAGAACGTATAGTTTATTATCGTGTCAAAATACAAAACGGAAAATCCATGGCCCCAGCACTCTAGGCTTTTTTTAAAATAGGCTCAAGGTGATAATATAACACACATGTTTTGATCGCAACTTGAACTATTTGGAGCTAGTAGCATCCGATTTAAAAATTCAAGGAGCGGCCAACTTTAAATCATAACACGTACATATGTGGTTAGGTGTCGCTTATTAATATGATTAAAAAAGAAACTGTTTCTATTGAAATCAACTTTTTTTGGTATTGTCATTGACTGCTTCCAATTTGAATATTTCATTACGTCTCCATTGTGTTTTGTGTGTCGCACATAATTTCTAACTGTTACTAATTGTTACGTCATCTACCTACAGGGGGGTGACAAAAGTATTGCACAGTTGTAATTTACTTAGTTCGACAAATTTTTTATATGTAATAAAAAAACTAACTTTTGTACCACTTACTGCATGATTTGCCTAAATGGTATCTTTATTTTGATTTAATAAAACGTGTTGTGATGACCCCAAAATAAGTTAACCAAAAACCCCAATTTTTTACGTTGGCGCATATGGGTCTTGCCAAAGAGCTTACTGATTCTCAAAAGGTGCTATAATCGCAGCCAAAAAACTCGGTCACAATGATGCAGCAATTGCAAAAGTGATAGGATGTCATCGCACAAGAGTTCTACGGTTTTTTGCAGCCCACGAATCAAAAAATTCTCCGCAAAAACGCCGCGCATTCTCAATCAACGGGATCGACAAAAATGCGCTTCCGCAAAAAAGTATATCGTGATAATATTGTCTATGCCCAATCGGATTCAAGCTGTGATTGATGCAAATGGCGGAAATACTAAATATTGATGCTTACTTTAAGTAAATAAAATTTCTTTTGGGTTTAATAAGAAAACTTTTTCAATATCTTAAATATAAAAGTGTACAATACTTTTGTCACCCCCCCCCCTGTAGAAGGTAATGGTTAAGCTTTACCATTTTTTTCATTCTTAAGTTTTACTCAAATTAATTGTTGTTACAGCTCAATCTTTTTGGCAGAGACATTGCTTTTACAAATTAATCTGGATTTCTACGTCTGGTGTCCAATTTTAGTTGGCATATCTGAATTCAAATTAAATACCTTTTTTCCCTAGCCAAAAGCCCGTTTAGTAATATAAAAGTTGTAAAACCAACCGTTTTGAGCGTCAAATAACTATCGGAATTTACAAGCTCTTGAAACATTTCTCACTATTCGAAATCCTCCGAATAATTGTCGTAATGAAGATCAACTTCCAACCTCTCACTCATTAAGAAGCGAGCCTTACAGTATGTTGCACAACTAGAATAGGCGGAAAGAAAATTTTCTGGAACCGATTACTGAAATTTAACTTATTCTATTAGCTAGACGCGTGTTTACAACAACAATTATTTTTGATTCTTGTTTCAAAAAGCAGTAGAACCAATATTTAAACTCGTTAAGCAATACGTCTGGCGTAGACATGTAAGAAATATTTTACCGTCCACCGTAAATTTGACTACTGGTCAAACCTTTAATGAAAATACCTTGTTTTTTAGTATCTTGACATCATTTGGGAAATAAATATATTGTATTATCTTTTTTTTGTGGTCTGATCAAACCCGAATCTTAACGTAATCTCCCATCTAAAAGAAGGACAACATTAATAAACGTCAGCTAAAATCCTAACAGCAGGCATCAACGATCGAAGAAAAGACGTATCGCACTTAAGGCTGAGTATAAAGCTAAATCTCAAAATCAACTAACTAACTAACATTGCTCATCGAATTATTGTACACCCCTTACCAAAAGTCTTTCAGAAAAAATTTTTTTATTCGAAAATCTCTGTAGTCTATGTATACTGTGTAGGTTAGCTGTCGTTATAAAGCTAATTATTGTACTTTTTGAAGAAAAAAAATTATGAATTAAAAATGTAGTTTGATGAAGTGTTAGGGTATATGAAACTATATATATTTATATAAGTGACTTATCTACTACCACTTTATCGAACTGCAGTTTTGTATATTTTTAATCCCCCGAAAAAGTAGGATCAATTAGCTTCATAACAATACCTAAATTATTGCTACCTTACATAGCATACACAGTTACTACAGAGAGTTTTGAATAAAAATTTTTCATAGTGAATTTCAGGGACATTTGTAGGGGTGTGTACG